GTCCTAATGGTTCACCAACGTTATCTGGAATTTCTAGTTCTTCTTCTGGTGTAGGAGTCGGTCCACCAGGTCCTCCAGGGCCATTTGGTCCTCCTGGTCCATTAGGACCTCCTGGTCCATTTGGTCCCCCTGGTCCATTTGGTCCCCCGGGACCATCAGGTCCCCCTGGTCCACCTGGTCCCTGTGGTCCACCTGGTCCTCCAGGTCCTCCAGGACCACCAGGTTTTCCTACACCAGGAGGTGTTGTCTCATCTGTAGCAAGGGTTGGTCCACCTGGCCCTCCTGGTCCCCCAGGCCCTCCTGGTCCACCGGGTCCACCAGGCCCTCCGGGTCCACCAGGACCAAGTGGTTTTCCAGGTTCACCAATGTCTTCTGGATTTACTTCAGGTCCACCAGGTCCATCAGGACCATTAGGTCCGCCAGGTCCATCTGTAAAACATACAAGCATACTTGTGCACTTATATGTATATCATGATCACTCAAAAAAGAATCAGTAAAGGATTTATTAAGTTATTCATGTATATTTTTTGTATATTACTAAATGTATACTAACAATTCTTGAAGTTAATACCAAAATAACTGTATTCATTAATGAGTCAAAAATATGTATTGTTATATCAAAACCAGAACTATTAAAGTAAAGTGAGCTACTGATAGATATTTACCTGGCCCCCCTGGCCCCCCTGGTCCACCTGGTCCTCCTGGGCCCATCGGTCCTCCTGGGCCACCTGGTTCACCGGGCTCTGCCAGTGCAGGTGTTATCACTGCAATAATATTTAAATGATTGCTTAATTGTTTTACTATTTTATACATGACATTCTTGCTTGTATTGTAAATCAACATCACAAATATGTAGAAATGAAAAACTGTTTTACCTGTAGTCAGTTCAGGGCCACCTGGCCCTCCAGGACCACCAGGTCCATATGGCCCTCCAGGACCTCCAGGTCCAAAAGGCCCCCCTGGTCCAAATGGCCCACCAGGACCACCAGGTACACCAATATCAGCAGGTAGGGTAACACCAGGAGCTAAAGAAGGCCCACCTGGCCCTCCTGGTCCATCAGGCCCGCCTGGTCCTCCAGGCCCTCCAGGCCCCCCAGGTCCTCCTGGCCCACCAGGTCCACCAGGACCTAATGGTCCTAATGGATCACCAACATTATCTGGAATTTCTGGTTCTTCTTCTGGTGTAGGAGTCGGTCCACCTGGTCCACCAGGTCCATTTGGTCCACCAGGTCCATTTGGACCACCTGGTCCATTTGGTCCCCCAGGCCCATTTGGTCCACCAGGTCCATCTGGTCCACCTGGCCCACCAGGCCCACCTGGCCCTCCTGGCCCACCAGGTCCCCCAGGGCCACCTGGTTTCCCAGCATCAGGAGGCGTTGTCTGATCAGTAGCAATAGTTGGTCCTCCAGGTCCTCCGGGTCCACCTGGTCCACCAGGTCCTCCAGGTCCACCAGGTCCTCCAGGACCACCAGGACCAAGTGGTTTACCAGGTTCGCCAACATCTTCCGGGTTTACTTCAGGTCCACCAGGGCCATCGGGTCCATTAGGTCCGCCAGGTCCACCTGCAATTCAAAGGCAGGTTGTCGATTAAACACAATTATACTTTGAGTGTCACTATTGCGAAAAGTCACATAGCAATGGTTAACAACCATTTTGGCAATAGTGTAATCTTCTGGAATACGTGATGGAAATAAGAAACAATGGGAAGGGTACTTATATGGAATAGGTATATATATATATATATATAGGCACCTTGATAAATCCCTTTTTTAGTCTATTTTTCAAGAGTTAGGGTTGTGTGGAATTTTGACTCTGATTTTCATTTACTTTAGTTTTATATGTATTGTACTTTATTACTAACATTTTATTGCTGTTCAACCAATGGAAATTATTTCTAAGGATGCAATAAATTC